CGTTTTGATGGTTATCATTAGCCCCTTAGCTGACTTCAGGTCTAACAGAGGGGGGGGGGGACATTAAAGTGGGAAAAAAGTCGAAGGGGAGGGGACAGAAGAGTGATTCACATATGTTAGAGAGACAGACAACCACAAAGGCAGAGAGATGGTCGAATATAACATAGTGTCGGATCATGGTAGTTTGACATCAGAAGTCAACTCCCGGTTAATTGACTTTGTTGCCCTATGAGTATACGTTGCTCAGGGTGCACCACGTGGAGGTAAGTCTATCGCACACTCCTAATGCTTGAAGTAATATTTCCAAAGTGAATACCCTACTAAATTTTAAAGAACGTTCGAGTTTTATCCATTTTAGTTAGTAATAATAATCCCGAACGTCTTGAGCTGAATGTTGGTGAATCTAATCTTCTACCCAAACGTTGTCTATTTTTAGTTGTCAGGAGAATGTGGGTGACACTTCGGCAGGAGCTAGATGGTCTGAAATTGCCGTAAACACTTGTCTCCGCTCACTCAAACTCCTTGATCCATCAATCTTCGGAAATTGAAGTAGTCCAAAGCCCTCCAGATGATGTGAGAATGGTTGCAGTTTTTGTGTCAAAAAAGTAAACATTTTTTTACTAAAGCTACACATGTCCGCTTTCTTGCTGGGTGGGTGAGAAGAGTTATTGTATAGGTAGATACGAGTTGAAGTGCAATTCCGCATAAGATGAATGTAATTCAAAACCTCTTCACCTCAAAGGGGAAAAGGAGCATCGGGGAAATATCGCAGGACAAGCAGTGTAATAATTGGGGCCCCTCCTTACAAGCATAGTGGATTAAGCCAATTCGAGAGTAATTAATGATAGTGCATTCAATTTTTGCAGCCGTTAAATTAGTATGATAGTAGGCTACAGCACTTGCCCACAATAGTTTAATTTTTTGCAATACTTGAATAAATCATATTCAAAATGGACTTGTGTTGACTAGAATCTAGCATTCTTTTGCAATGTACCAAAGCATTAAAGCACTATTGAAGTGGTCGCACTTTCAAACTTATTTGGTAAGGAAGACGTTTTATCAGCGGTGTCGCTAAATTATATTGGGCCAATAAAAATTATCGATCAAGTGAATTTTCATTTGCTATCTAAAAAAGAACGGGAAATTCCCGTCTCTTTTTTGCTCCTCTTTCCTCGAGTTGGCAAACGCGTCTGTAAGTCTTAAAGGTCATTCTGATTTAGACTTTTTAAAAAGATGCTCTCTTAATTTTTACCTTTCAATATACTACCAATTACGGCTATTTTTGGACTAATATCACCGGAACTAAATCAATTCAATATCCAATTTGGCAACATGAATTTAAATTCTTGCATCACAACAAATGTTATTGCGTCAAGGTGCGAGGCTTAATTGATTGGGCTAACCCAAATGTTGAAAACGAAGAGATAATGGTTGCCAAAAAATGGTTTGTATTTGTTTAAAAATGGAGTCAGACCCATAAAATTCCAGAAAGTATTCTGTCTAGACGTATCAAATCAACTAAGTGATCATCTCCTATTGAAATGGCCACTGATGACGTTATTGGCAACAGGATGCCTGCTAATTAAGGCTCCCCTGACCTTTAAAATACATTTCCTTGTGAACAGTTTTTTTCATTCGATTAAAAGGATGTTTTTTACTGTAATCAATCTATAATTGATGTGTGCTGCTCAGGGTAAAGGAAAATTGGGCGATTCTTCGTTTTCTTTTGTTGGGTATCCGAATATATTCTTACTGTTACTTGCTTTGGAGTGGTATTTTATGCAATAAGATTCCGTATTGGGGTAATAACTTCTTAATTATTGAATAAGAGCGGAGTATCAAAAGAGTCCTACGTCAGTTGAAAACGCGATTAATTTGATAACCTACTTGTTTAATGGATAGCTTCGCTATTTTATACGCAACTCGAAAAGGACGAATGTACTAATTGGGATCGTGTCTCAACGCGTTTCACCGGATTTTACGCAACTTTCACGATGTCAAAATCCATTAGAGTTAACTCAAATTGATGTTGAATCAATACTTCTGCGGTTCCAAAGGAAATGCTCATATCTTCTTATATCCTAGGCGTGGAGTTAACTGCTAATCAAACATAGCCCTTTCACATTAAGACCATAGTTCTATAAATGCTTTCTTTCTAACCTCTTCCTCGCTGAACTTTTGGATAGTTTTCAACTCAGTTTCCCTACTTGTAACCCATCTCGACAATACGAAGATACAGAAGGTAAGATCAAGGATCGAAAATCTCACCAACGATCTGTTTATTGAACAGCCTTTAACAGCAAACAAGGTGGGACCATGGTTAGAAAAAATGCAGTGGACAATTTTGTAATACCCAGCTATTCTTATACCTTTGGGTGATCGGAATATTTCAGCGTTCTATCTACTTCTAATGCTATTACCGAATCCGTGCTTGGAATCAGCACAGAAAATGGCTTTAATAGATAGATCTCCTTGACTGAATGATTAGATTCATTGGTATTTCATCTTCAGGGCAAAGTATTATTACTTCCAAGATAGTAAAAAGATATTGAAGCATTCCGCCGCAGTCGATCAAGGCTGGGTTATGTATAATCAGTAATAAAAATCCCTCATTATTCCAGCCATAGTATGAATAATTTAGAGGAGGAGGAGGAGGGATAGATAGTGTACACAGCTACACAATCTCCGTTTGGAGCAATAAATTTTTCGCTTTATGACTTTTATCACATTGCAGTAGCAGCTGTTAGAGAATAAGACGGAAAATTGACGGACTACACCAATCAGCCACACACATCCTTTGATCTACGTGTGTACGGTGCATTTCTTGGGAGGGGTCAGAAAATATTGTAAATCCTAATTGGTCTCCAACAGACATTAATTACAACTTCCCTCTATGAGTGCCACCTCTCTTCTCCAATGTTTGATTATTTAGGCTGTGATATGAACTCCAGTTTTTTGTTACTTTTTTTAGAAGATATTTATGTTGGAGGTCAATTGCGCTTGTTTATGAATTGGGCGGCATTTAGAGAACTAAATATGTGTGTTTTCTGGCTCGCTTCGGATTATGGTGTGTCTATTATAACTGAATGGGTAGACAGATTAAGTAAACTTAAGGTCTCCTACAGGCTGGCTGCAGCACTGGATAATCTCAATTCAACGGTTAGACGAGAACATTCCATTAGTTCCGGATCCAAATTGTTATTTTCACAATTTTAATTGTGTCCAAAAAGGTCTTCGAGTTAGAGGAAACCTCGAGCAGGTTGCAATCGTCATTTTCCCCATGAAAACGACCATATTTGGTTCTTTTAGAGGGCATATTACTGCTAATATCTAAAATAACCAACTCCCATATACCATACCTGCACATTTGCGACGGTATTTTAAACGCCTTAAGATCTTTTGCCATCTATATTGTAGACATTCAAAACGAATTGCAAATGTTCGAGAATTGGAGAAACGAAGAAAGTAAGCAAAATTTGAAAGCACGCTTTTCCTACTTTGCGCACTCGAGTTTGAAACTAACGTTGGTCATGACAAACTAAGCGAAAAAACTTATCCGTTTGGGTGACCTTTTCCTTTCCATATCCCCACCGCCCGCCTCCTATTCCCCCCCCCCCACCTCCTTCATAGACTGGCAATTATCCTGCGTTTTGCGTTAATATTTAACCATAACCAATCTTATATATATATATATATATATATATATATATTTACTACCATTAATCCTGGAAGTTTGGATATTTTATGCCCCACTATCTTAATTAATTTCCACTCGGTTGCGACTTGTGTTGGACATGACTGATCGCACATAGCAAAGATAATACTTATATTATTTTGGTCTTGGGCTTAATAAAGGGATTAATTTTCCAGTGAGCTCCGAGTTCTCCCTTTTTTCTTACGAAAAGCTCTTCTCCCAAAACTTCCAATCTTCAAGGTCATACTGTCATGTCAGGAACAAAACTGACGCAACATTTAAGTTAATAGGATAATTTTGATTGTTAAAATAACCGCCTAATTTTTTCCCCATATTTTCGTTGTCTTCATCATCATCATAATTATTGCCCCCAGCCACCTGTATCACCAACGTCGACCGGAGCCCAGCGACAGGTGGCCTCACCAACTTCTTACGCACCTCTTGCACACCTCCTACCAACGCAAATTCCTTCACCCAATAAGCGTGCTCGCTGTCACTCGAATTTTGGTTTATCTCAGGCGTGATTATCCTAGAGCGCGCGCGTTGTGTCCGTTTTATCCCTCACACACACACGAGGCAGCAGGTAAGAGAAGTGCGAAGTGGCTCTGTGTACGCGCACGCCTACGTGGTGGTGGTGTGGCGGTGGCACCCACACTGACTTGTCTGAACGAACGTGTGATAAAAAGGAGATTTCTCAATTACCACCTCTTAATTGCTATCTCCAACTTATGGCCACTGAATTATGCTTAAGTTAATACATATACTCTACATTTCGTTGATTAACTGTTGGGAATTAATACTACTTAATTACCCATTTCTATTCAGAGTTGTTGAGCTCGTTCTATGGTTGTGTGCGTAGGCGTGCATAAACGCATGGAAATGTAAAGAGTAGGATAAAGTGAGGTTGTGTGAAGGAATATCTCATCACATCTATACCACAATTGAATTCTGGTGTGTCTCTCATGGATATTTTTCAGTAATTAATCACTATACTTGGCGTAATTTCTTTTAAATGTTAAAGTAATACGCGGCTTTCAAGCTTTGATTGGGGAGAGGCGGGGGGGGGGGGGTCAGAGTTTCGATAATGAGTTTGTGCTTTTAAGTCATTTCAAATTAAGCTCGACATGTAGAATTTTTTTGTACATGAGAAATAAGCTACACTCTTTTTTTGGACATTGTTAAAGAAACTATATTTAAAAAATTAGTATGTTATTTTTACAAAAAAACTATTTGTTGGTAAATTTGATCGGCTAAATCAATTCGTCAACAAGATGTGTTGTAAACTCACTTATAACACCTATATACATGGACTTTCTTAAATAAAACATTTCGGTGTTTTCTTTCAAAAATACTCATGAATATTCCAAAAATTCTTAATTGAAAATATTTTAAGTCAACTCAAGTTAAGCCTATTTAATTAATTGGCTAATGTTAGCCACTTAATAACAGTATGAAAAGACCAATTTACTCAAAATAGTAAATTAACTTTGAACATAGAGATTGTGAACCGTGGGGTTATATGAAGAAATTCGAAACATTAGGACAAACTATTTATGACAGGCTGAACGACCTGTCGATTCCAGAAATCAAATCAAGACTTTTAATAGGTATGCTTCTTTTTTAATTTCTGCATGGATTTCTCCCCTGTCACCCCTTACTTGACCGATTTACCCCTCTTGGCGTCTTACTTCACACGTTTATGGATCGTCATTCTTTGCTTTGTCAGTTTTAGCAAATAATCACACACAACAAAAATGATATATAATACAAATTGGTGTAATGGGCAACCTTATATCCTATCACTTTCAAAGTTTCAAGAGTGTTAAAAAATATATTTTCCTTTATATGGTAAACCTGTCAAAGTTATTTCGAACATCCCGTAATACGTCGTTGAAAATTGGGCCCTTTGGATTTAAGGCTGTGTTCTAATTGGATAAAGGCAAGGACACGCGAGCTTCAAATATATGGAGAAAATGCTTGGAAAATCACGCGTGATTTTGCAAACATGTTTT